AGAATAGTTATTTGTGTAGAAAATTTATGACAACTAAAGCCTAGTAAAAAGTCAAACCCATGAAACATGTTTATTCATAATATCTTTTTTTACGCGAATGGAGCCTTCGGAGCAGAGAAGTAACGTACAATAACCTATTGTTCATCCTAATCAAGTATTTCTTGCCACCCTCAAAGGCAAGCTCGTACGTGGTTCTACTCACTCCCAGCTAGAACTATTCTTCGTTTGTCAAGTTAACCAAATTATTTGTCAAATTTTGTTGCTATCGAAGAATTATTAAAGGATCTCATCCCATCTCTCTGGGATCCGCAAAATGGAAGGAGAATCACTCAAATACTACTTCTAAAGGTTCTCTTGTCGAAGCTCGACAAATTGCAGGGGTGGATCCTGAGTTGCTAAGAGGAGTTTTTTCTGGAGGGCTTCGTCCTGGCCCTTTTTACTCAGCAACTCATAGCGAGATACGTACATTCATATGCTGATCTAATTCATCGTGTGGAGGCAACACAATCTCAGCGGATGAGCCATCATGCTAAAGAAGCAATTCGAGCAAACAATTGGGAAGCGTAAGAATGCACCAAGGAATGGTGATTCATCATACAACGGAAGAAGTAAATGGGTAATAACTTGCCCCCTCGACCTTCATAGTCTCGACGGGAAGCCTCGACTAGAGAAAGAGTATACAACTCTTAATACATATCGAGCAAATGTTCTTGATGGTCATCGAGATGAACAGAGTGTTAAGTGGCCAAATCCCTTAAAGCCAAACTTAGGAATATCAAGAACAATACTGCACTTTCACCGTAGCCGTGGACACACACTGAAGCATGCAAACAACTTAAAGAGGAAATCGAGAGACTAATTCGACAAGGTTACCTTTGGTCGGTTCATAGCAAACCCACTGTTCGTAGGACATTCCTCTGCTGGGGGCAATCGACATAAGACCGCCACAAAATAATCGTAAATGGTTGAGAGATCGAGACTATCGCTGGGAGTCCATTTTATCACAACCAAGTCTTACTTGCGGTGAAGTGAGGAGCCATCACAAAAGAAATTCGTGCTGACCATTGTATTATTTTGATGATGTTGATCTAGAGGGCATTCAGATCCCTCATCAAGATCCACTTGTAATTAACGCGGGATTTGCGATCCATACTTCAATGTCAAAAGGATCTTAGTTGATAATGGAGCTCAAGTGGATGTCCTATTTTACTCCACCTTTCTTAGTATGAGGCCTTGTGAGGGAAAAGCTCCAGCCAGCCGCAGGATCATTATATGGGTTTGATAATCGACATATAGAGTAGAGGGGACAATTAGCCTCCTAGTAACACTTGGGGAATTTCCTCGGCAGGCTACTTATCCAATCCAATTCATTGTAGTAAAATCAGAATCAGCTTACAATGCTATTTTTGGGAGACCACTACAATCAATTTTTGGAGCTATTCCCTCCATTCCACATCACAAGATGAAGTTTTTAACCCCACATGGGATTGGCATGGTACATGGAAATCAACAAATAGCACAATCGTGTTATCTGAGACAGGCTCATAACGCCCTCAGTTTCTCTAAGTATTGAGAATTTTGACCTTCGAAATGAGGACGTCCCTCAGAGGCTTTCATAGTCGAAGACCTTATATGTATCTCCATATCAGATGAGAACCCATCTAAAACAGTACAGGTCGGATCCATGCTCTCAGAGGAGGAGAAGAGAGAATACATGGTTTTTCTACTAGTAGAAATCAAACATTTTTGCATGGAG